CAGGTGTGAGTGACTGTGCCCGGCCCCCTTTTATATTTATAGCAATTGTTATCACCCTGAATATTTAGTGGTGGATTGTTTACATTTATATATTTAAAACTTAGTAAATAAAATTACTTCACTTAGTATGCCTTTATTTCATCACGTTTCAAAGCATCTGCTCATTTTAAGGGAGAGTCACGTCTGCAAGCAAGCATTGTGTCAGGGCTATTGTGTTTTCTTTATTAATTTTGGATACTTCTATGTTCTGGAAACTATTAAGCTATCAGTATTCTTTTAAACAATATTGTTGCTTCATCTTTTACTTTGTTTTTACTTATCTTGGAATAGTATGTCTTTTTTGCTGCTTGTTTTCCATTTGATTTTCTCTCATTCTCCTTTCCTATGCTGGAAACTTAGATGATGAAATTTAGTCTTTCTTTCAAACATACGTCTTCAATAGAATCTCCTTTAAACTCTCCTTCTGTTACATCTATTAATTTTGTTAAGTGTTTTTCATTGCTATTTGGGTCAAAATATTTTTAATAAATCTTGAGATACCTTCTTTGGGCCATGTTGTGTATCAGAGTGTGTTGTTTCATCTCCATGTATTTGGGGATATTTCAGTTACCTTTCTGCTACTTACTTCTAGATTAATTTTCTCTTGGTCTGAGAGCAATTGTTGTGTGATTCCTATTCTTTTAAATGTAATAAATGGTGTTGTAAGTCCTATAATATGGTCAGTCTTGCCAGTCTTGCAGAGGGATCCTTATGGGCTAGGGAAGTATGTATATTATTCACATCGTTGGAGTTAGTAGTTTAAAGATATAAGTTATATTGAGTTGACTGATTGTATAGTTGAGTGATAATATGCCCTTGCTTGTATTTTACCTGCTGGATGTGTTGATTCTTGATAGAGAGGGTTGATGTCTCCAACAATAATAGTGGACTCATCTCTTTCTTCTTCACATTCCCCCATCACCTAATTTAACACACCATTTTTAGGCTTATATCTATTGTGCAGAGTTGTATTTTCTTAGAGAATCACCCCTTTTGTCCTTAACTTATGCCTGTCTTTATTCTTCATCATTTTATTTGCTTTAAAGTCTGCTCTGTTGGAAATTAATATCTGTACACTTATTTTCTTTGATTAGTGGAGTATGTTATGTTTATCTCTTCATTGTTAATCCATGTGTGTCTTTATATTTAAATTGGCTTTCTTATGTAGTTGGGCCCTGTTTTTACATCTACTCTATCTGTGTTTTATAACTGGTACCTTAAGAACCCTGACATTCAAAGTGATTATTGATATAGGTGGAATCATATCCACTGTATTTGTTACTATCTTCTAGTTCTTGCACTGCCTTTGTTTCTATTTTTCTCATCCACTCATTTTCTTCCTTGTGTAGTTTTCATTCAGCATTTCACATGATTTCATCTTCTTTTCTTTCTTAGCATGTAGGACATATTTCTTTTACACTATTTTATTGGTTACCCAAGGTAATAAAAACTTTTATTTTGTATATTCTTAATTGATCTTACATATAACACTTTTTGTTTGTTTGTTTTTTGTTTTGTTCTGTTTTGGGACAGAGTCTCACTCTGTCGCCCAAGCTGGAGTGCAGTGGTGCAATCTCAGCTCACTGCAAACTCCACCTCCCGGGTTCACACCATTCTCCTGCTTCAGCCTCCCGAGTGGCTGAGACGACAGGCGCCCACCACCATGTCCAGCTAATTTTTTGTATTTTTAGTAGAGACGGGGTTTCACGGTGTTAGCCAGGATAGTCTCGATCTCTTGACCTCGTGATCCACCTGCCTCAGCCTCCCAAAGTACTGGGATTTGATTACATGCATGAGCCACCGCGCCCAGCCATAACAGCTTGTTTAAAATAAAAATAACATATGTATATGATTATATATGCATAAGTATAAGGTATATATACACATATGTATATGCATACACATACATATATGCACAAGTCTTTTTACATGTAAGTGAAATGAAAGATAAAGATACAAGGGACAAAAGAAAGAAATACAAGAAAAAGGAGGAAATAATTAGGACTATTCTGTTAATACAAGGTTGTCACTCTACTTCTGAAGTGATACACTCCTAAATGAAAGGGGTTCAGATTAGTGCTAACTATAAATCGCAACCACCAGGGAAAGCTACTGAACCAAGGGCATCAATTCCTTGCTGCCCATTGGACTGAGGCTACATTCAGTTCCTTCCCATGCTGGCTTCTCCCTCGTGGCAGAATGTGCCATCAAAGCCACCAAGGGAGAGGTTTTGCAGCAAGACAGAAATCGCAGTCTTGTGTAACATGATCATCCAAGTGACATCCATCACATTGTAGTAGTCTTTTGAATCAAAGCAAGTCTCAGATTCTCCCTAAATTCCCAAGGAAAGGATTAGAATACTGGGTTGTGTACACCAAGTCATGAGGATCACTGTGCACCATCTTAGAGCCTGCCTCCAACGTTAGGTCCTGCCCAATCTGTAACAGGCGCTCAGTCTTCACTTATTTTGCTGACCTTGACCTTCGTGAGAACAGGTCACATATTTTGTACAATGTGTCAGTCTGGATTTCTCTGAAGTTTTCTCATAATTTTGATGAGCAGTATAGACAGAAACACATTATTATCTACTTGTGAAGACAAGAGACACTGAACAAGATATTATTTGCAAATGCAAATTGAGAGAAAAAAACTTGAACAATTTGTGAATGGAAAAATGAAAACTTAAAACCTTCACCAGGATAAAAAAAGAAGAGGATAGAAATGGGAGATGCGTACATGGGACACAATATTGATAACCTTCTACTTATTAAACTCAATGGTGTACTTTATCTATTTTAGAATAGTTTTGTGTTTACAGAACAGTTAGAAATAAATACAGTGAGTTTATTTATACCCAACACAGTTTCCCTTTTATTTAATTCTCAGCATGGGACATTCATCACAATTAATGAATCAATATTGTACATTATAATTCACCAACATCCACAATCAATCAGATGTCCTTTTTTCACTTCATGTACATATTCTGTTCCAGGGTTGTGTTCAGGACGCCACACATTTAGCTATTGTGTGCTCCTTTTGGGCCTGCCAGTTTCTCAGATTTTTCTTGTTTCCAATGTAATTGAAATCCCTTCTTTGGGATTCATCTGATGTTTCACTCATGATTAGATGGCTGTTCTGGGGTTTGTGGAGGAAGACCGCTAAGGGAAAGTTTTATTCTCATTAAGTTGTTATATATTATGGGCATGCAATATTTCTTCCCTCCCCTCCCCTCCCCTCCTCCCTCCTCCCTCCCTCCCCTCCTCCCCTCTCCTCCCCTCCCCTCCCCTCTCCTCCCCTCTCTTCCCCTCTCTTCTCTTTTTGACACAGTCTCCCTCTGTCACCCAGGCTGGAGTGTAGTGGTGCAATCTAGGCTCACTGCAACCTCCACCTCCCAGGTTCAAGCAATTCTCCTGCCTCAGCCTGCCGAGTAGCTGGGACTACAGCGCGTGCTACCACACTTTGGCTAATACATTTTTATTTTTTTGTAGGGGTGTAATGTCCCTATTTCCCAGCCTGGTTTCCAAGTCCTGGCTTCAAAAAATTCTCCCACCTTGGCATCCCAAGGTGCTGGGATTACAGTGACCCAGCCACTTTATCACTGTTAACGTTAGTTGTATTATCTGGATGAGGTAGTTTAGTTTGGTTTTCTCTACTACAAAAGTAATAATTTTTCTCCCTCTTCATGATGTACTTGTTTGATAAAAAGTCACTATGAAAAGCACATACTTAAGAAGTAGAGAATCATCCTCCATCTCTGTAAGGGCAGAACTTTTGCAAATACCATTTGTATTTTTTAAACAATTTTAATGTTCTTTTGGCTGACCTGGATCAATTGCATTTTCCTGTACATGTTAAAATCAGTGATCCAATTATTTCAAAAAATAAAAAATAAGTGCAAGCTAGAATTTCTGCAGGGACTACATTGAATCTGCAGATACATTTGGAAAGTATTAGCATCTTGGTTAATACTTAATAGCATTCTGATCCATGAAAATCTAATGTTTTATCATTTATTTAGGATTTCTTTAATACTTCAGTATCTTTTTAAAGTTTCAGTGTATATATGTTGCAGTTGTTGTGTTAAATTTATTTTCAAATATATTTCCTTTCTGCTGCTATATTAAATGAAATCATTTTCTGAGTTTTATTTTTTGATTCCTTTGTATTGTGGAAGACCGCAGTTTTTTACATTGATCTTGCATACGACTGCATTACTGAACTTTTTGTTTTTGTTGTTATTTCAACCTTATTTTAGTGGATTCCTTAAGATTTTCCATACACTAGTGATGTCACTGGCCAATAGAGAGAGTTTGACTTCTTCCTTTTCAATCTGGAAGACTTATATTTATTTTCCTAGCCTAATTTTCTCAATTACATCCTCAAGCATAATGTTTAATAAAATTCGCAGGAGTCAATAACTGTTTAGTGTTTCTAATCTTGGGGAAATTACTAAAACTTACTTGATACCTTTTGGTGTTATGTGAGATTTTCATAGATGCCCATTTTAGATAAAAAACATTCCCTTCTGTGCAAAACTTAATGAGTATTTTTATTGTGAATGGGTGTTGGATCTGGATTTGTCAAGTGCTTATTCTGCATCTTTAGATGTGATAATGAGGCTTTTGTCATATGGTGTTTTTTTTTAATATAGCGTATTACACTAATTCTTTTTATATGCTGTACCAAACTTGTGAACCTGAGTAAATAAATACCTTTGGTATTAGTATATAATCCTGTTTCATGATTCTGACTTACGTTGGAAGTATTTGCTTGAGGATTATTGCCTGGGTATCCATAAAGCATATTAGTTTATAGTTTTCCTTTTTTGGACTGTCTTTTTTCTGGTTGTGGCATCAGAGGAAACTGCTTCATAGAATGCATTGCACACCGATCTCTTCTCTGTGGTTTGTATTTTTGTGGAGAACAGTTAGTGAAAAATTGCTATTGATATTTTAAAGGTTTGGAATAATTCAGTGGTGAAGTCTTCTGGAGCTGAGCAGTCATGTGAGCTTGGAAGAGGATCCTTTCCCAGCTGATCCTTCAGGTCAGACCTCAGTCTCGGTCATCATCGACATCTGGATTCCTGACCCAGAGAAACTGTGAGTAATGTGTGTGCTTTTGAGCCACTAAGCTATGTGGTAATAGGCTATGCTGCAATACACAATAGTACACTTGATGATAAATGTAATATGTTATCCTGAATTAGATCCAAAAACAGAAAAATGGAATTAGTGGAAAACCTGGCAAAATATGAAGACAGACAATACTTTAGTTAATAGTTTTGTACCTTTATCAATTTCTGAGTTTTCATAGATATTCTATGGTTATGTATAATATTAATATTATAGGAAATTGAAGGATATATAAAACTTTATGTAAGAGCTTAGCACTGCTCTATAAATTTGAAATTATTTTAGAATAAATAGGAAGTGTAGACATGCTCATATATTTGAGATCAGGACTTGCTGTTAACTTAAATGAGCTTTTGTGGAACCTGAAACTTATGATGCAAATGCAGTATCATTATTAAATATAAGTAAAATGAGTTTCTATTTTATTCACTGTATTCTTCCGGGAACAGCAAAGCCCATCTGTTTTCTCAGGTAGTATCTAAAAGTAGAATTGAGTCTAGTAACAAGTAAACAGCACAGAAGATTGTATGGAAACTATAATGGGTTTACATTTGCAGTAACTAATCATAAAATGACTTGCAGGATAATTATCCACATAATTAGAATGACCATGGGAAAGACAAAAAAAATAGAAATGCAACTTTCTGAATTGAGAAACTGTATCTGAGCAAGTGTGGTGGCACACACCTATAGTTCCAGCTACTAGGGAGAGTGGATAGCATGATCACTTGACACCAGGAGTTTGAGGCTGTAGTACACAAAGACTGTGCCTGTGAACAGCTACTGCACTCCAGCCTGGACAATACAGTAAGGCATCATCTCTTAAATAAATAAATAAATAAACAAACAAATAAATAAATAAATAATTGGATTTACATTACAAGTTTCAGAGATTGTTGTTTATATTTCTATGATCAGGGCTGAAATTATCTAGATTTTTCTGTTTTCAGAGAGCTGCCATGATATGGTTTCGCTCTGTGTCCTCACGCAAGTCTCATCTCAAAGTGTAATCCTCACGTGTTGGAGGAGGGGCCTGGTGGGAGGTGAATGGATCATGGGGGCAGATTTCCCCCTTGCTGTTCTTTTGATAGAGGATGAGTTCTCATGAGATTGGATGGTTTTGAAGTGTGGCACATCCCCCACAACTCCACCCCTCTCTCTCCTGCTGCGTGCCTTACTTCCCCTTTGCCTTCGGCCATGACTGTAAGTTTCCTGAGGCCTCCACAGCCACGCGTAATGTAAGTCAATTACACCTTTTCACTTCATAAATTACCCAGTCTCAGGTAGTTCTTTACAGCAGTGTGAAAATGGACTGATAGAGAAAATTGGTACTGAGAGAGTGGGGTACTGCTATGAAGATAACTGAAAATGTAGAAGCAATTTTTGAACTGGGTAGCAGGCAGAGGTTGGAAGTTTTCAGAGCTGAGAAGAGGATAGGAAGATACGGGAAAGTTTGGAAAAACCTAGATACTTGCGGAATGGTTTTGACCGTGTGAACCCCAAATATCTGAGACAGATCTCAGTCAATTTAGAAAGTTTATTTTACCAAGTTAAGGATACACCCATGACACAGCCTTAGGAAGTCTTGAGACATGTGCCCAAGGTGGTCAGGAGTACAGCTTGCTTTTACATTTTATACGTTTTAGGGAGATATGAGACATCAATCAATATGTGTAAGGTACATTGGTTTGGTCCTGGAAGGTGGGACAACTCGAAGGTGGGGGCTTCCAGGTTAGAAGTAGATAAGAGACAAAAAGGTTGCATTATTTTGAGTCCTTGATCAGCCTTCTGCTGAATACACAATTTAGTCTGACTCCATGAATCTGTATTTTCACATAAATAATAGTGGAGAGGAAGCAATCAGATATGCATTTGTCTCAGGTAAGCCTCAAAGGGATGACTTTGAATAGAATGGGAGGCAGGTTTGCCCTAAGCAGTTCCCAGCGTGACTTTTCCCTTTACCTTAGTCATTTTGGGGTGCCAAGATTTATTTGCCTGTCACAATCAAAATGTTGATAGTAATATCGACAGTGAAGTACAGGCTGAATGGACTCAGATGGAAATGAGGAACTTATTGGGAACCAGAGGAAACATCACTCTTGCTATGTGACTGGTGGCATTTTGCCCTGCCCTAAAGATCTGTGGAACTTTGAACTTGAGAGATTAGGGTATCTGGCAGAAGACATTTCTAAGCAGCAGAGCATTTGACACGTGACCTGGCTGTTGCTAAAATTGTATGTTCCTATGCGTGAACAAAGAGATTACCTGAAACTGAAATATATTTAAAAGGGAAGCAGAGCATAAAACTAGAAAAGTTCATAAAACTAGAAACCAGTCCCCATTTTTATTAAAGACAAATTATAGTAGGACACAATTATCATCAAAATAAGTTTTAGTCTTATTATACTTAGCCTGATTATTTCCATAAAAAACAACCAGAATAATTATTTGCCATATAGGCTCTTTCTAATTTGGCTTTGCTGGAACCGTGTTCTAAAGAAATCTCTGATTGGACTTTTTTTTTTTTTTTGAGACAGAGTCTCACTCTGTCGCCCAGGCTGGAGTACAATGGCATGATCTTGGCTCGCTGCAAACTCCACCTCCCAGGTTCAAGCAATTCTCCTGCCTCAGCCTCCTGAGTAGCTGGGATTACAAGCGCCCATAACCATGCCTGGATAATTTTTGTATTTTTAGTAGAGATGGGGTTTCATCATGTTGGCCCAGCTGGTCTTGAATTCCTGACCTCAGGTGATCCACCCGCCTTTACCTCCCAAAGTGCTGGAATTGCAGGCCTGAGTCACCACGCCCAGCCGATTAAAAGCCTTGAGTCCACCTATGGATTTATTTGTGCCTACAAATACCTGTATAGATTGAGTGAATTCCTCTCTTCTTAAGGTCCCAAGATAAATTTAGGATTTTTAAAAAGTGATTTTTTACTTACCGCCACTCAGGAACCCCATAAAAGGACGGTGTAGACAAGTCATGAAGGCAGTTTCCACAAGAAATTTTTGTCACCTCTATAAGTTAACTAATTCCTTACGGCATTCCGTTTATGTCTGAAAGTATGCCAGTCTGTTGATAAAATACAACCATATCTTTGGTAAAATAACCGTTGTCTCTGCTTGTGTTCTGTTACAGAAGAAAAGAGATACACAGGTTCTTTTTTTGTGTGTGTGAGACAGAAAAAATGATTTACTCATTAACATAGATGCAAAAATCCTTTAAAAATATTGGCAAACTGAATCCAAGAATATATGAAAAATATAACACACCATGATAAATTTGCATTCATCCTATAAATGCAAAATATATTTCGCATTATAAAATCTAGTTTAATTCATGAAATTAACAAACTAAATAATTATTTCAATAGTATTAGATAAACTTTAAACATATGTGGTCTCCTATCTCTCCAAAGACCTCATACTAAAAGAATAGTTCTTTTTTTTTTTAAGAAGAATATTTTCTTTTTATTTCTTTTTTTTTACTTTAAGTTCTAGGGTACATGTGCACAACGTGCAGGTTTGTTACATATGTATACATGTGCCATGTTGGTGTGCTGCACCCATTAACTCGTCATTTACATTAGGTATGTCTCCTAATGCTATCCCTCCCCCACTCCCTCCCACAATAGGACTCGGTGTGTGATGTTCCCCTTCCTGTGTCCAGGTGATCTCATTGTTCAGTTCCCACCTATGAGTGGGAACATGCAGTATTTGGTTTTCTGTTCTTGTGATAGTTTGCTGAGAATGATGGTTTCCAGCTGCATGCATGTCCCTACAAAGGACACGAACTCATACATTTTATGGCTGCATAGTATTCCATGGTGTATATGTGCCACATTTTCTTAATCCAGTCTGTCACTGATGGACATTTGTGTTGATTCCAAGTCTTTGCTATTGTGAATAGTGCTGCAATAAACATACGTGTGCATGTGTCTTTATAGCAGCATGACTTATGATCCTTTGGGTATATCCCCAGTAATGGGATGGCTGGGTCATATGATACTTCTAGTTCTAGATCCTTGAGGAATTGCCACACTGTTTTCCACAATGGTTGAACTCGTTTACAGTCCCACTAACAGTGTAAAAGTGTTCGTATTTCTCCACATCCTCTCCAGCACCTGTTGTTTCCTGATTTTTTAATGATCGCCATTCTAACTGGTGTGAGATGGTATCTCATTGTGGTTTTGATTTGCATTTCTTTGATGGCGAGTGATGATGAGCATTTTTTCCCGTGTCTGTTGGCTGTATGAATGTCTTCTTTTGAGAAGCATCTGTTCATATCCTTCACCCACTTTTTGATGGGGTTGTTTGTTTTTTTCTTGTAAATTTGATTGAGTTCTTTATAGGTTCTGGATATTATTAGCCCTTTGTCAGGTAAGTAGATTGCAAAAATTTCTCCCATTCTGTAGGTTGCCTGTTCACTCTGATGATAGTTTCTTTTGCTGTGCAGAAACTCTTTAGTTTAATTAGATCCCGTTTGTCAATTTTGGCTTCTGTTGCCATTGCTTTTGGTGTTTTAGACATGAAATACTTGCCCATGCCTATGTCCTGAATGGTATTACCTAGGTTTTCTTCTAGGATTTTTATGGTTTTAGGTCTACATTTAAGTCTCTAATCCACCACAAATTAATTTTCGTATAAAGAGTAAGGAAAGGATCCAGTTTCAGCTTTCTACTTATGGCTAGCCAATTTTCCCAGCACCATTTATTAAATAGGGAATCCTTTCCCTGTTTCTTGTTTTTGTCAGGTTTGTCAAAGATCAGATGTCTGTAGATATGTGGTATTATTTCTGAGGACTCTGTTCTGTTCCATTGGTCTATATCTCTGTTTTGGTACCAGTACCATGCTATTTTGGTTACTGTAGCCTTGTAGTATAGTTTGAAGTCAGGTAGCATGGTGCCTCCAGCTTTGTTCTTTTGGCTGTATGTTCTTCCATTTGTTTGTGTCCTCTTTTATTTCACT